ATCTATGAGGGCTGTTTTAGCTTGTTTGAGCTACTAAAATAAAATACCACGCACTGGGTGGCTTAAACAACAAACATTTATTTCTTACAGTTCTAGAGACTAGGAAGCCTAGGGTCAAGGTGCTGGCATATTCAGTGTTTGGTGAGGGCTCTCATCTTGATTTACAGGTGACTGTCTTCCCAGTATGTCCTCACATGGCCTTTTCTTGGTGTATGCACACAACACAGAGAAAACTCGTGTTTCTTCCACTTTTGATACGGGCATTAATCCCATCATGAGGTCCCTTCCCTTACGACATATAACCCTCATTGTCGATTAGGGCTTCAACGTGAATTTTAGGGAGATACATACATTTAGTTGATAGCAGCACCTCTTTTAGTTGGTGATCATTTTATGACTAGGAGAGACTGCCTCATGTTGGACATTTAGCATGAGTAGGACTATAGTACTCAAGGTTTGCTTATAAACAAACTTGAGCTTTAATTTCAGCTCTGATTCATGACATTGGACAAGTTCAGCCTCTGTAGGTCTTAGTTTCCTCAACCGTGAAATTGTTCAATTGTAGTTTCTGTTTGTAAAGTTGCCATCAAAATGAAATGAAAATCATGCATGTAAAGCATGTAGCACAGTGCTTGGATCTCAAAATATGCTTTTGATAACAATTTGGCTTTTAAATTATGAAAATAACCAAGCTTATTTGGACAAAAGCAGAGACTGGTAACACAAGAAATAAAATGGTTTGACCAGTGCTTTGGTTGTTACTATAAAAATTTGTACTTAATCAAAAACTTTGGAAGTCTCTGTTAATTATAACGCACCATATGTCCTATGTTAAAATAAAGATAGACATATGGTGTGTGTGTGTGAATGTATGTGCATGCACAGGTGTGTGAACATGTGTACCTGATAGTCTGCCCCATCATTTCTTTGGGTAATTAGCTCATTTTCAACTGCCATATCAGAATTTCAGCTAACACATGACTTCCAAATTTGGGATATATTTTACCTACATAAACACTTTGCTTTTATTTCAGTGAAACCAGAAACTATTTAGCCCTGCTTTGTTTTAAAAGGTTATTCCCTAACAAAAGTGTTCTTTTGCACATTGACAAGGGGGTGTTCCAATTAAATGTTACTGGCAAGAAAGTGATAAAAACCAACCACACACACAGAGCTCAACTCTTAAAACCCCAAATTCCCGTGAATCATACCTTGTTGATATCCATGCCATTAATAATGTAACAAGTATCCTAAAATATTTAATACTTACATTTTATAGAAAGTATTGATTTTCCCTTCAGGTTTGGTGGCTCAGATGAAAAAGTAAATTTAAGACTGTTCTCAGTGTGACCTAAAATGTCAAGGTGATAAATTCTTGTTAAGGCTTAACTTGAATTACTCAGAGAGTGACAGCTGCTGCAGGAAGAGAGCTCCCCCGTTATGAAACCAGAGGGGACCGAGCATCAGTTGTAAGGGATGGCAGTATGATTTTTAGTGGCTGGTTTTTCTAACACATGAATGAATGCTTACTCCTGGATTTCAAAGATCACAGTAGTCATGTCTTCTCATAACCACAAGAACAGAAAGCATTGGCTACAGCTCCAGAATATATAAATAAGAAAGAGGAAAACCCACATTACAGTGGACAACCTTGGGGGTGAGATGGGCTTCCTCATACTTTAGTAAAATTTAAGCTTCTAGAGGGCAAGGAGTAATTCTGACTGCTCCTGGGGAATAAAACAATCTAACCCTAGCCGGTTTGGCTCAGTGGTTAGAGTGTCGGCCTGTGGACTGAAAAGTCCCAGGTTCGATTCCAGCCAAGTGCACAGACCTTGGCTGCAGGCTCAGCCCCCCGCCCCAGGCGGGGCACGTGCGGGAGGTATCCAGTCGATGTGTCTCTTTCACACTGCTGTTTCTCTCTCTCTCTCCCTTCCACTCTCTCTGAAAGCAATGGAAAAATATCCTCGGGTGAAGATGAAAAACAAACGAACAGACAAAACACACACAATCTAAGCGATTCATAACTTGAAATGCAATTAAGAAGCAGCACATGGAGCTGGGAATTTAAGAGGGCTGTGTCTTCATGCAAACTTCCAGTAGTTCTCTCTCTTTAAATTTGGTTCAAAATATTCTATAAAGACCTGTGGGATTTATTTCTGCATACTGGGTAGATTTATGTATTCAGAAAAGGGCTACCAGGAGTGTATGCCCAGAAAGTGACTGTAAGCTCTAGCAAATGATCTGATTTTTGGCCTTTCAGAGGAAATCAATAAAGAAAAAAGAGTAGGATTCTGTAAAATGAGTGGTTTTCCCTGGTAAAGCTGTCCCCGCATACAGTACTTATCCTCACTGAACCTGCCGAAAGCTGTAATGGTTCTGTGATTAGTTTGAATGAATGATCCTCACCACATAGATTCACTATTGATTTTTAAAAAATTAATAATAATATCTTGTATTTATATAGTAACCATCTCTGAGGAAACCATCTGAGTGCTTTATAGTTGATGAATTCCAATTTATCTTCATACTGTTCTGCTGAGTGTGTAGATTAGATATTCCAATTGCATTTTAAGGAGGAAAAATGGAACCAGAAAAGTTAAATCATTGGCCACAGAACTTTCAGAGAGCTAATAATAGAACCATCCATTAAAATCTGGTAGTCTTGGCTTCTCATTCTAGCTGTTTCCCAAAATCATCTGATCAGTTGGGTCAACTCCAGTTATTCCTTAGGAAAAAGAAGTTGATCATAACAATGACTTGAAATTGCTGTGATTAACAGAGATTTAGTTTTCTCATTGTTTTGGTGGACAGTAGCTGGGTTGAAGACATTCTTATTTATTAGACCATACCCACTTTTAGTGACCTATGATAATATCTTTGGAATGCTGTTATGTCACATGTATCCGAAATTGATCTGGCAAGGGAGTGATGTAAAACTTAAATTCTGCTGTTAGGTACGTGTGGTTTTCCATGGGCTGGGTTCTCTGTCACTATCTGGCATTGCTTTAGCTGAAAACAAATCATGAAATAATCTCCCAACAAAAAGATATTTAAAACCCTTACTCACTGAACTCATTCTTTCAATTCTCTCTTCCTCCAGCTTTAAAAACATGGGGCTCTGATTTCCCCCCTTTGGATTACAGTTCCTGTTCATTTTTCCTCCGATGAGCTTACTACTTTGTCCCTCTGTGTTCTCCTTACTGCTACTGCTCTGCTCCTCACATTTATGTGGGTAACCTTCTTACTGTCTCTCCTATTTCACCTGTCTACTCCTCAGTCCGTCTTAGCTCAATTTTCCACATTTTCTGTGATTTTTGAAATTATGAATTATTCAGTCACACAAGAAATATACAGAATAACATGTGGAACATCCATACCCCCAGCACCCAGCTTAAACAAGTTCGACATTAGAGATGCAGTTGGAAGCCTTGTGAAGCCTCTCCCTGATCTCACTTCACTTTCCCTCCCCACTGCTGTGAATTTAAAGGCTGTGATTCTCATGGAGGTTTTAATACTTTTATTCACCGTATATATCTGTGCCATAAAATGTATGTGACTTCTTTAATCACTTATTTCTGAAACTTTCATTTTTTTTCATGTGGCTTTGAGATTTCCACTGCTGTTTGAAGGTGTGTCCCTATTAGTGCCTGTGGCTGTTTCCTTCTTTCCCATTGTGGAAGTCCTTTGGATCCACAGACCACAAGCTGTCCGTTCTTCTAAGGACTGACATTGAGATTGTGGTGATTTTCCCCCCGCTGAAATACAAAAAATATGTAAATAAACATTTTGAACATGCTTCCTTGTTCATATTTATGAGACTTTCTTGAGGACATATACTCAAGATTTTAAGTGCTGGGGAGGTGGGGTCTACCCATTTTCAAATTTACTGTTAAAAAATGGTTGTCACCAGATGCATTTCTACTTACGTGCCATATTCCATCTAAAAAGAGACCTCCTTGGCCCCTCCACCGGCTTTCGATGGCATTTCAGCCACCTGAAAGAGGAGAGCGCCTCCTCACTTTTCTGTCTGAAGGACACCCGGCCCCACCAGGACCCCTTTTTGTGAGGGGGCCACACATTGCGAAGCTCTTGACTGCATGCTGTGGCGGGACCTTGGACGGGCAGAAGCCATGAAGCCATGTGGCAGGGCACCGTATCTGACTCACTGAATGCTAGTTTGTGGCCTCTGAGGTTCTTGTACCACCTAGTTTATTTTCCCGGGACTCCGTCTCAGAAATGGTAAATCATCCAGTTCACTGTGCAGCAGCGAAGAGCAAGGACCCTGGAGCCGGCTTTCCTGGGCCTGAACTGCTGCTCCACTGCTACTCGCTGTCTCTTGAGCAAGTTCCCTAACATGCCTGGGCCTTGGTGTTCTTGTTGTGAAATGGAGGACATGCTCGTAATTATTTCATAAGGCTGTGGAGAGAACCAAGTGAGACAATATACATAAAGCTTTCACATAGGTGCTTACTAAATTCTTGTTGAATTGTGTGGAGAGTAAAGATAACAAGAAGTTGTATCACACCTCCTTGTGTGTCAGGCATTGTTATAGTAACTGGGAAGCTGGCATTGACCTTAATATCTGTCTCTTTCCCAAAATTAAGTTGCCAGCTGGGACCAAGCCCATACACATTGTTTGGCTCAAGAAATACATGTTAAATACATGCTGAATGAACAAACGAACCTAATGTTCCTCCCAAGGCAATGAAATGCCCAAGGTATGTTCTGAGCTATAACGAAGCAAGTAAATTATATCCGCAAACCTATGCTCTCTGCATGGAAGTGGATTCTTAATCTTTGAGTATTGATTGTTCCCATGTAATATGCTTAGTTGTTTGCCATTAGCCAAAATATTTGAGTAGTCAGAATACCATATTTTTAAAGAGGATGAGTAACAGAGATTTGACTATTTCTTTAATTCCTTAATTGCGTACAAAATAACACTCCCAACTTTTGATTATGACTAGTCTTTTGAAATTGATTGTTTTCTTGAATTTTAGGTCTCATTGTCCATGAAGGAGCAGCAGTTTACAGAGTGTTTAAGCGCTGGCGAGCTGTTAACTTACACTGGGATGTATTAAATTATGACAAAGCCACAGACATCGAAGAAAGTAGTCGGGGAGAGTCTTCTACAAGCAGGACTTTATGGTTGCCGTTGACGGCGCTGCGGAACAGGAACTTAGTCCACCCCACGCAGCTAACCTCCCCTAGGTTTCAGTGTGGCTACGTATTATTACACCTATTCAACCGAATGAGGCCCCACGAAGATCTGTCAGAAGATAACAGCTCAGGAGAAGTTGTGATGAGAGTGACTTCAGTGTGACAAGAGTATCTGATGGAGCAGTGGGGACCACCCTGCACATTTAGGAATGTAATTGCAATGAATGGCAAAACCATAACACTTCTAAAAACACATCTATGAACTTTTTAAAGTTTATGCTTTTTATATGAACATTTGAATTGCAAATACATTTTTCTGAAAAAAAAAAAAAAAAAGTCCTCTTGTTGTTTGCTTTCTGATTTATCACACATTTTATAAGTTGATACTTGAAATCATTATACGTATAATTTAACTCTACTTGGCTAAAAGAATGATGAAAGTTATCCTTGAGTCCAAAACTATTTTTTTCTTGCTTGTTTTAAATATATTTTTATCAAACTTTGTGCTCCCTGTGTAATTTTTCAGACATGCTACGAGTGGGGGAGAGTTTAGATGTGTGTGGCCAGGCGCCAAAGTGCCTGTGAACGGAGCAGCTCAGACGGGCGGCCACGATGCTCTGCACCGGACCTCGTGCCTCATGCTGGCTGGCAAACTTGACATGACTTTTTTTTTTTCCCCTGGGAGGAAATAACTTATCAACAGGAAAGCAAATTCTAGGAATTGTGGCTTGTTTTCTAACTTCTGAAATAGTAGAGAGAGCTTATAAAAAGATAAAGATAGCACAGTAAAATAGCCTTACTCCAGTAGATGTTACGAAGACAGAGCATCCTGCACACTTAGAACCCTAAAATTCACCCAACATTGCATCATTGGGCGTGTGGTGATAATACTGCCTCACATTTGCATAAACCTCTCATAGACCTATCCAAACTATTTCAGTTAATTATTAGTGTCTTGATTTCTATGAGCACCGTCTTAATTAGATTTTCTTTTTGCAAAAGCTTATATGCCTATTTAATCATTTAAACACCGATCCCATTACTGGGTTTAATGAAGTCCTGGGGAAATACATTCACCAGCGGCGAGAAGTGTTTCTCTTTCACTAGATAGGTATTTTTTAAATGAAAAGAGGAAAAGAAAAATGAGGCTATTGACTCCCCAGGATCAGGCTGCTAACTAGTGGAACCTGGAGATTTCCCACTTTTTTATCCCCCTAATGGAAGTAAGCGGCACATTTAATTGCAGTGACAGAATAGATGAAGGGGCAGGCGGTCGCGCTTTCCTTAGAAACATGAGTTGGGCATGTGGGTCATTTGAAGTAATCAGATTTTAAAGCATATGAAATCAAATGCTTTACATTCTACCTTCTAATCTTTGAATTGTTGACAATAGAATAGTGAGTGTTTACAGGTAGCATTGTGCTTTTCACATAGCAAATTCTACCAACACTTGCAATATTTTCCCGGTTAAAAAATTGTCACTGATGAGTGAAGGATGTGGCAATTTGCAGAACTGTGAATGAATCAGGAAGTCATGAAAGAAGGAAAAATTAGCCACCATTTAGGGGCAGATCTAGGAAGTGAGCCTATTAAACATTCTTACTCCAAACATTGTTTTAATCTGATATTGCAGGAGCACAGCCCTGCGTGAGGCACTGAGAGTGGAGGTCAATCCTATAAAGCTGGTCTCCACCTCTCAGAATCTTGCCACCTAGGGCAGGAAGGCAGATTATTTGGTAGAGACACTAGGGATACAAATCTGACAAAGCAACAGTCCATTATTTGTACCCCACAGGTGTTAATATTTGTCCTGCACTGTTTAATCACTAATAAATAGCACCACACTTAATAGAGAATAATTGTGGACACTGTTTTTAGAGCTTCGTATTAACAGTACTATCTAAAGAGATTTTAGGCACTGATTAGACTATCCCTGCTCCAGTATTTAGCAAGCCTATCCTTCCAATCGATGGACACTTTGTATTCCTATCAGCTCACTGGAAAACACGAAGGGGCAGAGGAAGAGAACTGCTCTCGGTAGCGCCCGGGTGGGGTGCGCGAGGTGGAGATGGCTGGAGCGCCGAGCGCAGGGTGGATCTGTCAGCCCAAAGGGAATGTGCGTGCCCTGATCCCCCTTGTCTCCAGCTCCCTGCCCTTTGGGTGGGCCTTTTGTCTATACCCATTGTTTTCCCCAACGTCTTCACAGTCTCCTCTTAGCGCACCCCAGCACGCCCACATGTGACCCGATCAGTGTTAAATATGGATCTGACAATTCCCACTCGACAAAATGGACCATCCGTGAGATGATTACATAAAAACTGAAATACCTGGTGTATATGTGGGTGGGGGGGGGCACATTTAGAGAATTGAATTCAATGCTTAAAAATAATATGCAATAGGGGTTACGATATAACTTTCAATTGTGAACGCTGTAATTCAAACTCGGGTTGCCTTAAAGTTCAAAAACATTTGTGGTCAGGAAATAAGTTGGAAATATTTAAAATTAATTCTTTAAAAAAAAGTTTTCCACCATAAAAACAGACCTGTATGCAGTCTATTGCCAACCACTAATGTGCAATATGGATAGTTATGGAGCACCTCTGTATGATTCAGGCACTGTTGGCAGTGGGCCCCAGGCCAGCAGAGAGACTGTGTATTGGGACGTGCTACATGGTCTCCTATGTGTCTGGATACAGGTGAACCAAGGAAAGTGACAGTCCAGAGGAACCATCAGTTTTCCCTGCGGCAGGTGGAAAAGTCACTGAGGAGCTGGCAAGGCTTGAGTCTTAAAGCATGAGTAGAGGTTTGCCAATCAGACCAGTGGAGAACATTCTGGAAACAGCTTGGGGGTAAAAGAGGCATGTTCGAGTAATGCTGAGAGATTTCACATGGAGGAACATAGGATGCGTGTGAAGATATGATCCAACCCTATGGGGGTTGACTAAGTAGCTGGGGCTGAACTCTGTATGGAACCATAAGAAGATAGTGTTCAAGCAGCAGGTGGCAGGCGTTGGCAAGGTCATCTCTGGGAGATGATGTCCTCTCTCCACCCCATTCCTATGGTTAACACTCCTAGTTCTTAAGTTCAGGTTAAAATAATGTAATGAGGTGTGATCACATCCTCAAGAGCTTAGAAAACTACATAATGAGATAGGTGGGAGTCACACACAGGTGCTGTTGCTGTAAAAGGCACAGTACAAAAGAAATACTGGGCAGATGGGCTCTCCTCCCCTCTCCCAGAAGATGGCCAAACACATCATTCTGAAGAGGAGAACACATCGTAGCTCCTGTGAAGTAGAAGATAGTTTCTCCATTACTGAAAGTATGCCCAGAGTAAATAAAGCTTATCATCTGAGTTTTCTTAAATATAATTTTAAAATTTTTTCTTCTATTTTTCCCATTAACTAAAAAAAAAAAAATGCCCAAATAAAGCAAGCTCTCTTTCTTGTTATTCTTTTCCTTCCACTTGTTTCTCATAGGTTAGTAACATTAAAGAAGCCTATTATGTTTGATGATGTGCTAATGCGCAGTTCTCCTTTATCTAGGGAATTAAACAGCAACACTAATTTGTCTTTGTTAATCCAGAATTAGATTAGCTGTCATCTAGCAATTGATGTCATTTTAAGCAGAGATCATGCTGTCTCCATATCTTCCTTTACAGCTTATTTGTTTGACTTACAAATTTTAATGACAGTAGGTTGCATATAGCTGATATTTTAAAATTTCCTTTCCAAGTTCATCCTTTATCAAACTTCAGTGGCAAAGTTTAGTTTTTTTTTTTCAATATATACGTTTGTATAAATGACAGAACACATAAAAATAATTCGATGTTTGATATATTAAGAAATAGTTGTTTAAAGACTTTTAGAAGATTCTCTAGGCAATTATTTCAATTCTAGTTTATCAGTTCAGAAAAAATATTCCTATCATGTGTGTGAGATAAAGCATTAAAGCAGATGGTGCAATTTATAGCAAAGCTCAAAGTTTCAGGCCCCAGTGGAACCTAGAGATGAATTCATTGCATTCATAAAGATGCCATTTTACATGCAGTGGATTTATCTGGTAAATTAGTCAAAGACCTGAAAGTTATTTTAAGAGATTCCCCACCTAGGAAATATAAGACCCTGGGAGCTAATAGGAGAATGAAAACAATGTATGATTTTCTGTAAAATTTTGGTGGTACATTTTTTAAAAACCACATCATAAACCTCACCCCAATGCATTTTATATTGATTTTCTAAAACAAGTTAGTAGTCACTTAATTTTCTTGTAAAGTTCTCATATTTTATGAGAAATTTTCTGTATGCAATATGGCTTTTCAGGGGAAATTACCTTTTTCTAGTGTTATAAGTAGAAAAAATGTTTATTCTAAGATGCACAGAGAATGGAGCCTAATGCACTCAGATAGATAATGGTGACCTGGGCATTTTAAAATCCTGCTTTATGGAGCCATCAAGTACGAATATTCACACCAGCTGCTGGATCACAGAATGAGCATCGATTAATCTTGTCACTGCATATCTAGAATTGGTCTAGCAGCTTTGGAATAACCAATTTTTCATAGTATTGGTTTCCTAGGGACTCTTCTATGGGTTGCCAAAATGTCTGTGTGATTAATGTCTAAATGCCCTCTGTAGCATGTTGGCCATCGACAGAATCCAGTAAAATTAGCCCTTTAATTATGTAGAGGTCTTCCCACCTGGAACAAGAGTGAAGGTCTAGAAAGAGCCAAGTTGAATTGTCCAATGTCAAATTAGAAAGAATCACTTGATGCAGTTTGCCAGAGTTCTTCAGTGTGGAGTAACTTCTGGGACTGTCAGCTGAGCAGACACTGGATACACTGGGAGTGCTTAATCACTTTTTCCTAAATCTTTTAAACTCATAGGCGTACGTCAGAAGTTTGGATTTGACTACTGTATCTCATTGAGACAATGCGTCAAGTAAATCTCATTAAGTCAGGTTGGATTTTCACAGCCTCTTTTGTGGTTGGCTTTGGCCAACTTTGAACAGTTCCCATTTCCTTGTGTTTAATGGAACCCTACTTCTATAACCCTACTTCTGGTGTACCTGATACACACGGAGATACTTCATTACCTAGACCCAGTGCCTACAGAAGAGGGTCGTGTGTGTGTGTGTGTGTGTGTAGAGGGCTGAGCAGAAGGATGTGATCTGGAGGAAGGACCAGAAGCTGTGGCAGTTCATGTCTCAATGTTACTTAATAAGTATCTTTCAACCTGGCCTCCTCTAAGAGATTAAATTATTTATGAGAAGGAAGGTGTTGAGACACATGATAATGAAAACAGCAAATGATAAGTCTTGCATTAGTTTCCTGCTGCTGCTGAAACAAATTACCATAAGCCACGAATGGCTTAAAAGAACACAAATATATTACAGTACATTTCTGGAGGTCAGAAGTCCTAAATGGATCAGAAGGAACTAAAAACAACAGAGTTGCCTTCTTCTGGAGGCTCTTGGAAAAAATTTGTTGCCTTGTCTTTT